CTCCATAAGCATCTAACAATTTGTCAGCATTCCTCACCTCACAATGCTTCTAGTATTCAAGAAAAAGCACCATCAGGTGCAAGATGTCCTACAATTTTGTTCCTGAGTGTCTCACTGAAACAAAACGAAATCCACGTGAGACACTGTAATTCCTCCCTGAGCCAGGTGCATAAATTATTAATGTTGTTCTGTACCTTATAATAGAATTGCAATGATAAAGAATTTTGAGAATACACACAGGCATTTGTGCCTGCAACAAATGCACAAACTGTGTAAATACAGAGAGAGATCTGCTGGATGTTGGTGAAGGTGTGAAAATGAGCTGGACCAGTACTAGCAGGGAGGCAGGCACTGGGGCAGGTTCACAGTGTGTCAAAGCTGGCAAGGTCTACATCATTCTGCTGTTCCCTAAGTGGAAAAAGCTAGACTTCACCATGTGAAGGAACAAAGAGAAGGAGTTAAGCAAGGAGATTCTTGCTTGAATTTAGCATAATTCAGAAGAAAAAGTCACCATCCTTGACAAATAGTTATCATACAAGCTCAGCTCTCCAGTCATTAGAAATGCTCACCACAGGTATTTACGTGGTGAGTTACCTCCGAGGAAGGTCACTTTATTTTCAGTAGCTGTTGCTTAGAGACACCTTGGCTTTTTCTGAACTCGGAGAGTATGCGGTACTCTCTGGTTGTGAACAGCAAACGCTTTAAAAAACTGCGATGTCTCTTTAATGGAAAGTTTATGGTGGGGTTTTTTTTTTGTAATTGTTTTTTTAAGCAAGAAGAAAATCAATCTCTTGAAGAGCAGCTGAGAGAGTCAGGACACTTATCGCACTGAACTGGTCTCAAGAGTTCATGGATTTCCATATCAACAGTGTTCTCCCAGGTCTGCAGCTGCTGCGTATGCACTGGTCTGTATTACCTCTCTTTAGAATTGTTGATATCCCCCCCTTTTTTCTTAATTGTTTTCTGTGCATCTGCCTGCCTTTCTGCAAGGGGAGGTGGAACTATTCATACCTGGTTTTACTGTTCTGCTGACTGGTGCCTTGGGTGAAAGGCTGTTATGGTGCCCTTGGAGAGGATGTCTGCTTATTTGTGCTACCCTGAGAGCTGCATTTAGCCACACAATGGAGAGAAATGGAAATGATACTTTCCATAGGAGAATGGAAGTATGAAGCACCCCAAGTAGAATTCATGAAGAATGAAGTCACATTTTTGTGCCAAAATACAGCTTTTGATGAAAACCTCTCCAGTTTTCAGGCAATCCATTTCCAATAATTTATTTACATTTTTGGGGAAAAGCAGACCCCTTTTTGTAAGAAACAAAATCTAGACAAAAAATAAACGTTCTGTCAAAAATAGTGTTCACATGGAAAAACTTCATCCAGTTCTATTTATACAGCCACAGATATATAATAGCTGTATAAATAGAACTGTTCAACATGGGCAATTGCATACTCCCACCCTCTCTTTTTCTTGTCTCATATTATCTGTGAAACCATTTATGAAAAAAAAATAAAATATACAAAAGTTCAAGATCGAATATAACATCATTGCAACAATTTCTTAGAGCACTGACAATCTAGTATTCCAATGGGTGATTTATATGGGCCCTTTGAACCTTGGCTCATGAATTTCAGAACAGGGTGAATAAACATGTATATGTGTTTAAAATCCACAGAATTTTAACATTTACTTAACAGGGTTCCAAGGACGCCTGGGAGAAGTTTCCAACTGTCGAGTTGATTCAGTAGGCTCTATTGCTTAGATGTGTGAAGCAAATACTTAGCAAATGTTTTAGGAATTTGTAAATGAGCTTGGTCTGCTTGTATAGCTTGAAAGCCAAGCAGCTTGTCTTTGCCTGAATCTTAAATTCATGTCAATTCCACAGCAAAGATACCAATTTTTTCACTGGTTAAAAAAATTACTACCACAAGATAATCCTAAACAGTCAACTTAAAGGGTGTATCTTGGTCAAAGATTTGGGATGAGATTTTATGTTTAACTCTGAGAGAGGGACTACATAGTAACCAAATGAGAGGAACTGAAATTAAAGCACATTGAAGGGATGACATCCTTCATTGGCTTGTTAGCAGCACTATTACCTGAGACCCCCCATGGGCCCACTCTCATCACCCCGCTGTAACGTCAAGCTTGTGCAGGTGATGGGAGGGCAGGGCAAAGCATCCATGTTGAGGCTTAGTTCAGGTTCATTGCTCTGCAGACCAGTGAATCCAAATTTCTCCACGCTACAATGCGTTTATAAAATCTGCCAGTTGAGGTGCATGCAAAAATTTTTAGCTGAACTTCAAGAGGTCAGAAATGAACGCCTATTTACTACCTAGCCTGCACAATCTTCCACTGAAAGCTGAAGCAAGCATTTCAAATTCTCATGGATTTGCGCTAGGAACATATGGACTCTATACTGGGAATACTCCTGTCACTTTTCAGCATTTCACTTTTCCTGCCACAAATTTATAAATTCCCTCCTATTTTCTTTTCAGAAATGGGGCTTTAGGTGGAAGGGGTCAAAATTCAACAGAAAATGATGGCAATTAAGTTTCATTTAAAAAACCCCCTATTTTATAGAGACTTCTATAGTACTATGTCACATAGGGAGTGTTTTTATGCATCAGAGTGGCTAGGTCTGTGTGTCTCACACATCCACGTAACATCTCACCAGCATTTTCATTTTTTTTCCTAAATTATCATAAAGAAACAAAAAGCAATGTAAAAGCATTCCATGCAAACTTTGGCAGATTCAAATGCATTAGACCAAAAAGTTAAGAAGGGAGAAAATATTGAAAATAGAACCATTAAATGACTTTGAGTCCATTCATGTCCAGCCTTTCCTAGTTATGCATCTCAGATCACTTTAGGAAAACTTGATTCCAAAGATTTTGATATAAAGTATTTTTGATCTCAAATTACTAATATTGCATAATATTAGCACTTATTGCAGCATCTCATTAATCAGTGACAATTTCAAATCTGTTTATTTGAAAGTTAGACCTTTCAGAACTATTTCCCAGTGGAAAACTGACAAATATTCCATCAGCATTTAATTGATGGACACCCTATTTAATCCTGGCTAAACACCTGTATACTGCTCTTTAAAACAGGGTTAATAACAGCACATTTCTCCCATTCTACTTTTGTCTCACAGGATGGGAAGCTCTTCAGGCAAAGCTGCATTTCATCAGGAGTATAAGGAGTTCCTAGAAAAATAATACTTGGAAACCAGCTGGGGTCATTAGGTGCTTTACAAGTAATAAAGATTTTAATGGTTAGATAAAAACTAACCTGGGTGACCTGAACAAGATACTCCATCTTCAAATGGTTAGGCTAATATAAAGGGCTGGGGATATTAATTAAGCTCTTTGGATAGCAGACCATCTTGTTCTAAACTGTGACCCTGACTTCAACGGCATTACACTGTCTAACCAGGATTACCATGTGAGTAGTTGTGCTAACAGTGTTACTGAATCAGTAACTCCTAACAGCAGTCTGGAATGATTCATTCCTTGAAAAGACTTCCGAGCTGCTCAGTGGTATAACCCTGATTAGAGTTCCCTTACACTGCAAGCTCACTTTTGTATCTGTCTATCCCTGTGCCGCCCTCACGAGCACATGCAGTCCATCCTGCAGCAGTAGCTCTCTCAGCAAAGATACTGTCTAAAAGAGGAGCAAACCCATCATTCAAAGCAAGTAACAGGAGCCTGAGACACAGCCATATAGTCAATGTATCCACGCCAACAGAGCTGACAAACCCCTCTAGCTGTACCACACAGAACCCCACGCTTGTTAGTAGCACGCAATGATAAATGCAACAGTAGGACTCCTACTGTCCTACTGAAGCTCTTCGTCAGTCGGTTCATTTATATTATTAGAAAGCTGAGAATGTGCCAGAGGGTATACATTTGACAGACAATTAGTGTACATTTCTTTAAATGTATGGTTTGTAAATAATTTCTGTTATACATTTATTAACCAAGGGTTGTCCAAGCAGGGCTTCATCACTACCTCCATTGGATCCTCCCTGACATATTTCTCATGCTCATGGCAGTGCTGCCTGTTTGTCTGCTAAGATCCAGGATGGGGTTGACCTTGCCTGATGCTGAGTTTTGTAGAGGGAGTCCTTCAGCAGGCACAAACCAGCACTTCGCCTGCAAGGACCAGACACTCAGGTCCATCTCTGAAGAAATCTCAAGGCACCATAAGGTACCATGAAGAGAAGAACATGTCTAGTGAGGAAAGTAACTTGTCTGCCACCAAAGCTTCATCTGAAACCAGTGGTGAGTATGAATAGCAAGCATAAGATCTTGGGTAAACAGGGAAAGTGTCATATTCCAGCTGAAAAGAGATTTTTTTTGATAACTTTGGACAAAGGAACTGAGCATAGAGAAAACTATTCATAAGAGGTTCACTCTCAACTCTAAAGCATTATGTTCTTTCTCATGCTCCTTCTACACAAGTCCCTGCTTGGCAACGAGGTGAAGAAACAGCAGCGGGGAGGCACTTGGAAAGCTGGCAGAGACAATGGCAGGGGCCAGCTGGCAGCAGAGCTTGCTTCTCATGGAGTTCAAGCTCGGCTGTTCATATTGCACAAGTCTAGTTACCAAACCCCTTGAACAGCCACATCTCAGCTGTCTCTGTCTTGAAAATGAATCATAAAAGTCAGGGTCATCTGTACGATGTCCTCTAATGCTTTTCCTGCCTAGTACTTTAAGAAATCATGCCAAAAGGGTGAGAATAAAATAGAGTAAACAGAATTCCCACCTGCCACAGATGTGTTTCATTTGATGCTCTATTTCAGTTCCCAAAAGTTTTAAAAAATAAATATAGTCAAGAAGTATTGAAACATCATCCCAGAAAACAAGATGTGGAATAAATCTGAGTGGGGCAAAAATGAACCCAGTTCCACTTACTGATGTGGTGTGAGGATGCAACTGATGTAGTTATGCTTCATTTTTAACAGATAGATTTAGTCCTTTGCTTAATCTCACCTTCAGAGGCACCACTTGCATCAGAATGGCGAAGTTAGTGAGGTGGTTACAAAGACACACTGAGTAGTTGAGGTCCCCACTCTCACGCACACAACCTTCATTAGACCAAACACCAGTTCCATTGCTGTAAAGCACACAAAAATGGAACATAATCTCTATTGAAATGCATCTTATCAGGTTAATTTAACATGCACTGTACTATACAGGAGATAAAAAGGTTTGAAAGCCATTTCAGGCTGGAACATCGCCAAACATTGCTAGTGTCTTCTCAGTTCCATCCTGAAAATAATTAAGGAAAATATTAACTGGAACAGGGCCCAGATCAGACCCCTAACATGAATGTCTCTAGAGATTTTTTCCCGGTTTTATAACTAATGAACAATAACTACATTTTTTCTTTACATTGTGCAACCCATTTATGGCATTTCAGCCAGATCCAAATTTATATATTCTGAGAACTTTAATATCAGATGAGTCAATAAGCTTGCAAAAGTCAAAAGAGTCAGCATATCATATCTGCTGCCTCTCCCTTATCCACTTTCCCACTCATCCTGTCAAAACAAGTAATTCAGACTGACTGAGTGTGATTTCCAGTGACCCATCCACGTCAGTTGGGTTTTGTCACTTCACCCTCAATGGTAGCAAGAACAGCTCCTGTTCCACTGAGGATATGGCTGGGCTGGCCGTGTGGCCTGGTTCCAGGGCTGCACAGGATCCTCACGAGTTTGCTCCTTCCTGGAGCCAGGGAACCCCAGAAACCCCTGTGTTACCACAGCCTTGCAGTGGAGTGGGGACACAGAAGCCACAGCCACAAGTCCAGGGGGGCTCAGATACAGTATGACACCCACCCAAACTCTCTGCTTCTTAACCGGTTATTACTTTTGACATTATTCTGGGTCTTGAAGCTAGGCTGAGTGATCTGTATTTTTCTTGGTGCTTATTTTAAAGATAGGTATTACCTCACCCTTCCTTTGTCCTTTGGGACCTCCTTGAGTTCTCAAAGAGAGTCTGTTGTAGGTCAGAAACCAATTGCTTATTCTTTAACTACCATGCACTAGGGAATAAGACCATCTTGACACAAATAAAACTCATTTGGAAGGACAGATTTTTGTATTTCAGTTTCTATCCCGAGGCAATGCCTCAAGGGCCCAAGCCCCAGTGGAAAACAGTACAGGAACAATGCCCCAGCCACAGTAATTAGCTTCAGTAAAATCTGTTTCTAATTTCTTATAATTTGTGAGTAACCATAACAACGAGTAACTGCCACCAGCTGGGACAGTTTGACATACTTGAAACAAAACTTCAGTAAAACAATTACAGTGACCTTCCCATGTGCATGCCGGGTAGGAGGGATCACAGCATTGCAGGCTGTTGCTGCACCGATTAGGCTTATACCGTTACAGCTCAAAAACTGTTAATCGCCATGAAATTCAAAATTCACTATTTGTGTTCTTCCTCAATTGATTCAGGAAGAGCAGCACATTTGGAAATCAAAACCAGATGAAATACATTCAGAGCTCAAAAGAATAGCCACTGCTTTTCCATAGTTCCTATTTTCTGAGTGAAATTTAAGGTGATATTTATGCCCCTTTTATTCTAATTCTTGTTCAGGGGCATAATATTTCTCCGTTCCATACATTGGCCAAAATTCACAGCTCTGAAGTACTGATCTCACATGGTGTTGTGACACAGGCACAGATCCAGTGAAAACAACGCCTCTGCTGGAGAACTGCCATTTTAAAACATCCGAGCATCTGCCCAAGTGGACACACTCGTAAACCAAGATAAGCATGATTTGTATCATTCTGCAGTTTTGATTCCAAAATTTTTCAGTCTCTCAATCACCTATCTGACACAGGGGCTGTGAATAACAAGTCTCCTCATTATGGTAAGAAGCTACTATGAGACTGTGTTTTCTGTAAACCAATGGCTCCATTTCTTTAACTATTTTCATGAATGAAAGAGAACAAGAAGAGTATAGGTAATATATAACATCACAAATTAAGTGTAATTTAATTAAACCATGCTAAAGAATTTGAAATTACGTAACATACCTATAGTCCAGAAATGCACAGTAGAGGTGAATTCTGTTACTCTTATTTAGTGCTTGGCTGTATTGTCTGAGAGTCTGCAAGAAAGAAAATATAAACCCTGAAGGAATGCTTAAAAATAACTAAATTCCACTATGCAACTACTTTAAATTCTCATTGTTACAGTCATTTCCATAGACTTATTCTAGATTAACACACCATAACTGAAAACAAATTTTGTCAGTCTTCGTGGCTTTAACACAAACTCCAAACATGCAAAGGCTGATATTCAGTCTTAATTTTACACACTGGGATTAAATTCATGTACTTTGAGTGAGAAATCTGAGTTCTATTTAAGTAAATAGCCAACCAGGAGTATTTATTCTATAAAAGCACAAATATATGTGTTAATTTTTGCAGGATTGGGGCGTTATTCTTCAGCATATATTTGGATTTGCTGGGTTTTGTTCTCATTGGTGTAATACGAATCTCACATTTTAGGATTGATAACTGAAATACGTGCATTGCAATGACCAACTCACAGACATTTTCTTTCCACAATAGCAATTATTTTAAAACATACAATCAAACTGAAAGAGCAATGCCATAATTCAAGATTTTATTTTAACAAACCTTAGCATTATTACATAATTTCTATATTCCATAAACAGATTTGGCCGCTAACTGAATACCCATTCCCATTCGGGAAGCTTTGGGACCCCATACTCCACTCTGTTACACCAGTTTTATGACAAATGAAATTCAAATTATACTGGCGTGAAGTAACAGTTTGTTATAGACAAAATATGCAAACTAGAGGATTTCCAGGATCTGTTCAACCCCTTCTGATACATAAAACCCCAAAGTCCACATAGTGTTAGACTCTACCTTAAGGCAACTTTCTAATTAGAAGAGTCTTCAACATAAACAAATCCCTGGTGAATTAACAGCCCTCGGATTGTTGCAACACAATTCTTCTGCCAAGCCAAAAGATAACCAAGTATTGCTTTCCTTGTTTTAGAGAAAGAAGGGAAAAAAAACCTCACCGCCTCATCATGCTGAAACTCAACCAAATACAAGAAGTCCCTGATGCAATTTTCATTCTCCTCTCCCGCAAGTCCAACGAGTGTCAGGCACAAGGTAGCACAGTTCCCTCCTTACTAGAGATAATAAAGCATTTCTGCCCAACCCAGGACGTTCACACATTCATACTGGATTTCCACACACTTCAAGTAGCTATGCTATAGATAAGGCCATTTACTTCTTCTTAACTCACATCTCTGGATAACTTAAATGGAATTTTCTTATCTGCTTGAGCAACATCCCTGGACAAAATTTCTAGTTCCTTGACTCACCCGTTTTTCCCTAAGCCTTCATCACAGAAATGGCTGAGATTGCGGGTTGGGTACTTACAGAAGCAGAGCTCTGTGAAGAGGAAAGATTGCCACTTATCTGCCAAGGGTCTCTATTTTCCCCTTTGAATCTGATGACATCCGGTAGCTTTTTTCCACGAGGGGAGCAAAGTAAACAGTAAGTGTAAACTTTTTTCCACGAGGGGAGCAAAGTAAACAGTAAAACCTCACACTCTCACGAGTGTGCTACACTGGGTAGTGATAACAGGACAAGAGTCACGTCCCCCATCACCAGGAAATATCTCACTGATATAACCCCCAGTCTCCTCATGACACTTTCTTTCCAGGTGTGGTGAGAGTGTAGTAAAACCAAGTATATGACATTAATTAATATAGAGGAGTCCTCCTTCATCTGTGAAAGCCCTTCCACATCGCTGGCTGCCCTGTAAAGGCCCCATGCAAGGCTTCAGGATCAAACTGTTATGTTCGCTGCTAGATCCATCGATTCTGAACTTTCCCATTTCATTCAGAAAGTGCCCTACCATGAGCCTCACCTTGAACAATAGCAGGAGTTCTGCACACCTTCCAAATCACAAACCACCTATGAAATATGGAGTGTCTTTCAGAAACTGCTTCCTTCCTTTAATCCAACCTCTTGCTGTTCAGAGTACTCTTGAAGAACACTAGCTCAGAAACTGCAGAAGACTAATGATCCATAACCCACGGCTGGAAAAGTGCCTTCTGCAACTTCAGTTAATTTAAAGTTCTGCTGGCAGAGTTCATTCTGTTTTACCAGCAGCGGGGGTACGTAGCATAATGTTTGCCCATTACGCTGTATAATATTATGTCCATCATATCTATAGCTTTCCTGAAGTAAGCAATTGAAAGAACCCATAGTCAGTTTGTATTACAAATTACCTCACTTGTATGACATTCAAACAGTGGCTAAAATAAAGAGAGAAAGATCTGCTGTAATAACAGCTAAGATCAAGTAATAATTGTCATTTCTGATTTGTAAGATATCTCTAGATAAATCTTGATTCTTAATACACTAAATGGAAAGGGCACTGCAGGGTCAGGTTGGAAGAAGACACAGTACTTCAGTTGTATATCATTTTACACAAATAAATCCCAGATGTATGTTTTACCCTCAATTATCCCTGTCAAGAGATAAATTATTGTTTTTCTCCATCTTTAACTCTGAACACAGATGTCACTCATTAGGCAAAGGACTACATCAAGTGAGGCTGTACAGTCTCTGAGCTGTCCAGAAATGTATGCGTACGCACATGGCAAAGGAATAGATAACTAATGCATATACAGGAATGGTCCATACCAATTTTCCTATTTATTTCTCCTAAAGAATATGTCCTATGTTTTAACACAGATGACATAGTCCTCACAAGGCTTTTCAGTGCCGTTTATGATAACCACATAAAACACTCATCTTCTCAGACTTCATTGAAGTTCTGCAACAAAACCATCATTAGAATAGAAATCCCCCCAACGTGTAAGAAATTGGCTACAATGAGGAATAAACCCTCTCTGATCTTCAACAGGTCTACTTCAAAGAACTCTCTAATCTATGAAAAATGAACTGACTGTACCTCAATACTGCATTTCTTAAGTTAAACTGTGTGTGACAGCTTATATGTGACTTGGATCCGATAGCACTAAGGATATTGATTTAATGACATTGATAACAGAAAGCTTAATATACAAGTAGGCTTTTACACTAAAAGATTAAGGCACTTGAGTGTTTATAAAAGCCTGTGAAAGGACAGTTTACGGAGCTTTCAGTAGTGTGGAGAAGGAAAGTACCAGCACGCTAAATAATCCAGGATCTGTGCACACCAGTTCTCCCTAATCTAGGTTCTTTATATCAGTCCTCCTGCATGAAGAAGGGGTATGAGCAGCTCCTTCAAAAAAGAAATACATTACAAGAGGAAAGCAATCTCTTGTCACTGAGAAACAGTGCAAACTCTGTGTCTGTCTGATGGAGTTGATATCTTGTGGAAGGACTGTCTCTGTTCACATCATGGCTGTTCAGCATCTCAGCATCCTTTACACTAACCACTGACTCTTGGTAAATTAGTCAGACTTACAAGAAAACCACAGAAATTCATTGTATGTGTTGAGAGCATATAGAGGATATGCCTGGATGTGTGATGGTGATAAGGTACTTACACTGCTGGGAACTAGGCACAAGGCCATGGTTAGTGGGTGAAGAGGCCAAAAAAGGGGGGTAGGGGACTTGAAGAACTGCTGGAAATCTTCAGGAAAACCTAGTTGCAGGAAATGTCATGAACACAATTGCAGAAGAAAAACAGTCAGCCAGCTGCTGCCGGGAAGGCTTGCCAAGGAAGAGAAGCCAAGGAGAGGGTGGGGTGAACCTTTATGAGATTAGTTTGTTTCTCCTCTCGCAAATTTAAAAAGCAAATATTTAGCTACATGGTGGTGGCCACCAAGGGAGGAGGGTGTGCACCTTCTAATTCAATATGTATTTTTCTCCAGTGTGAAGGAGAACAAATCTGTGGGTCAGATCTGCCATTGATCTAAACTGTAATGGCTCCAAGCCCAATGTGTTGGGTGTTGGACTTCCTCTCATCCAAAACAGATCATAATTTATCCTATTAAGTTCAATTTGGAGTTCACTTGTCTCTGTTTACAAAATACAGCATTTTGTCTAATACAGAGATTTTTGAAGCCTTGTCTTCTCAACCTCCAAGAATACCATGTATTATTTGGAAGGTGACAAGAAAAGGCACTAAGGCAAACAAGCCTCTTGTCAATATGCTTGTGTCTTTTGTGCAATTCACAGCCCCTCTGGAATATTCTTACAGGTGTTTGAATCAAAAGCACTGTTGATTCTGGTTTATGGATTAAATTAGAGATTAAAATGATGCTTCTGATATAAGGATTTCCTATCCTCACAGCAGCATCCCGACTGTTAGCGTGACCTATCCAGGACCGCATAGTTTATTAACTTTCCTTTCCACCTTATACAATCTACTTCTCCTAATTACCTAAAAAGTTAAAACTTTAAGGTACATTCATCTCCTCAGTTCCCTGCAAAGAAACAGACAAAGAAAGAGGAAGAAAGAATAATCACCTATTTCTATAGCGGCTATATTGCCTGTTACCTTCCAAGCCGCGAGAAAACTGCATTGCAACAGACCTTGGGCTTAGATCACCCAACTATTCTAATTTAGGGTCTGTTTATCTGATTCACCCTAAGTTGTAACTAGCATATGTAATGAAAAAAAATGTTACACATTGTACAAAAATAAATTTAGCATATCAATAGGGAATTATAAAGTGTTACGCATAAAAGCCAGACCTTTAGTGTTCCCGTTGTTGTCAACAGAGCTATGCCAACACACACTTAACTGAAGCAGTGAGCAAATCCTGTGGGCTCCCAGGGTCAACATGAAAGCTCGATGAATGTTTTTCTTAATGGTACAATCATACAGTTAAAAAAGAAAATCCCATGGTATCACAAAGGGTGGAAGACAACAATATAAAGGAAAAGAACAGTGAAATGTCAGAGGCGATAAAGGCATCTGAAATTAGAAAATGTTGCCATATGTAATTGAATATGGATTGAGTTTGATCCTTCCTTTGCCTGAAGTTAAAAATAAAAAAATTGAAATGTATAATTTTTCTGCAAAAATATTGTTAATCAAATGCTACACACCAATAGCCCTCCCCCGTTCTCAGAATTCTCCATTTAACAGCTGCTGTAT